CGCCGATTTTCTGAAGGTCTCTCTCTCTCTCTCTCTCTCTCATATCACACCCATCGTCACTAAGTCTTCGATGCGAGGCCATAGGCTTATATTACGTCGAAGACGCTGTCCGAGAAAGAATTACTGATGGCGAACGAGAAAGCAGAGCGAGGACTCGAGGTGGTGAGCCTAACGTGTGCCTTGGTGGGAGGCGATGCGATTATACCTCATACACCAGAGAGCGTGGAAGTAATGGTGTCGCCAGTGACCGGCAAGAAGTTGCCCCACGAGTGTCTGAGGTATCTGCAGGCAGTGCTGGGATCAGTACCACTCGTACACATCGAGGATGTCTGCGAAGCTCATGTGTTCTGCATGGAGAGGGAGTCAATGTCCGGCAGATTTCTGTGTGCCGTCGCCTACCCAACAATGCAAGACATCGTCAATCACTATGCTGAGAAGTATCCTCAACTTCCGATACTGATCCGAGAGTGAGCTTCTGCTTCTCCTCCTCCTTCTTCTTCGTAGGCATCGAGTTAATTGGTTACTGGTGGCTGGTTTCAGGGTGGAAGGGGAGGGGATAAGGATTCCATGCAGTTCTACTAAGCTGGAAGAGATGGGGTTCAAGTACAAGTATTCTGTGGAGCAAATATTAGAAGGTAGTGTTGAATGCGCCAAGAGGCTTGGAACATTCGAAGCATGAATCTAATGTTGGTTCAACATGTCGCATGAAGAGCAAATAGAACATCTTCACATGCATGCTTGATGTCCCATACTGTATTTGTTGGTCATGAACCCATGAACACAAGGCTTGTTGATATCTCCTCCAGCTGACTTGCGTTTCTTGTAATAATCAATCTCTAGCATGTCTTACAGAAAATATGTTTGAACGAGCAAGAACTACACCATATATATCAATTCACAATTACAATGAACAAGAATGATGAACACTCCTTCAGCTAATTGCGGTCGAGTAATTTTAGATACCGTGATGCAGTATCTAGCGCCCTTCGACCCTTACAAGCGGCTGGAGAAGAACCTGGAACCGAGGGAAGTATCTACCTTGGGATCAACCAAATAGGTGTTTGGGCTGGTGGAAGCCCACAGATTGGGCTTTATCAACCCATAGTCCAACCCCACTTAATCTAATCCTAATTCTTATTAAAGGGTGTGGGTTGCTATGTTTTAGAGACAGAAAAAGATTATAAAAGGGCAACAGCAAAAAGGAGAAGAAAAAGATAAAAAAACAAGAGAAAGGAAGGGAAGAAAACAAGGACAACGCAGAGAGACTGTTCTCAATTATCTAGTAGTGTTCTCATCTCAAGTTAGATCAAATATACAGTAGACACTTGCTGTGATTACTTGGGGAGGTTTTAGATATTGTGGACAGTGACGTGATCCTTGTATCCCTGCTATTCTCTTATGATTGTTGCTAGGGTTTAGGGCAAGAGATTGAGATTTGTATATTTATTATTTTCATAGTGGATTATCTCTAGTTTACCCCGTGGTTTTTACCCTTCCCATTGAAGGGATTTTCCAAGTATATCTTAGTGTTCTATTTGATCGTGGTTCCATTTAATTCCGCTACATGTTATGGCCTGCTAGTATTTGTTCATATACAAAAGTTATTTCTCTTTATATCCCCATCAACTTGTATTAGAGCGGGGTTTTGGTGATTTAATTTTTGTATTTAAACATGGAGGCCAGTAATATTTCTCGCATGATTAGTTTGAATGGAAACAATTGAATGATATGAAAATTAAGAATGAAAGATCTCTTATATTGCAAAGATTTGTATGGACCTTTGCAAGGGGATAATACAAAACCTATAATTATGACAGATGATGAGTGGAAGAGATTAGATCAAAAAACAATTGGGTTTATTAGACAGTGGCTTGATGATAGTGTCATTTACTATGTTTCTACTGAAATTTCTACATATTCTCTTTGGAAAAAGTTGGAAAGTCTCTACGAAAGAAAAACAGCTAGCAACAAAGCTTTTTTTATTAGAAAACTTGTGAACCTAAAATATAGAGAGGGTGTTTCTATTGCTGAGCATTTGAATGAAATGCAGAATATTACTAACTAGTTATCCTCTATGAAAATGTCCCTTGATGATGAGTTGCAGGCATTGTTACTTCTCAGTTCATTACTAGAAAGTTGGGAGACACTGGTGGTTTCCCTTAGTAATTCTATGCTAGATGGTATTGTCACTACGAGTCAAGTAACAAACAGTTTGTTGAATGGGGAGTTGAGAAGAAAGAGTTCAGCAACATCTCAAAATGATTTACAAGCACTTATCTCAGAGAACAGAGGAAGATCAAAATCTAGAAGCAGTTCACGCATGGGTAGAAGCAAGTTAAGATCAAGAAAATATATTGTTTGCTATAACTGTGGTGAGAAAGAACATTACAAGAACCAATGTAAGCAACCATAAAGAACAAGAAAAAAGAAAAAGAAGTGGAGTCAACAGAGTCAAAAGATAATATCACAGCTATAGTGCAAGGTGGTAATTATTTGATTTTGTCTCTTTCTGATGATATTTTTTCTTGTGTGTGTCAGGATCTTGAGTGAGTGATTGACACAAGTGCTTCTTATCATGCTATACCACAGAGGGAGTTTTTTGCAACATACAGGTTTGAAAATTTTAGTGTTGTCAAGATGGGCAACTATGACACAGCAGATATCATTGACATTGGTGATATCCACATAAAGATCAACCTTGGTTGCAAGTTGGTGCTTAAGGATGTGAGGCATGTGGTTGACTTGAGGCTGAATTTAATTTTAGTTGGAAGACTAGATAATGATGACTATGAAAACAGATTTCACAAAGGGCAATGAAAGCTCAGTAAGGTTTCTCTTATTGTAGCTAGTGGAAAGAAATGTCATACTTTATACAGGTTGCAGGCTAAAGTTTATGATGAGCAGTTAAATGCTACAAAGAAAGAATTTAGAATGGAGTTATGACATAGGCGACTGGGACACATGAGCCAGAAGGGGCTGCAAGCTCTTTCCAAGAGAGAGGTATTACCATATCTTAGAGGTATACATTTGAACCCTTGTATTGATTGTTTGGCTAGTAAACAACATAGAGTTTCATTTGCTAGTCTTACTATATCTAGAAAAATGCATACCTTAGACCTTGTCTATGCATATGTATATAGTCCTTTGAGGACAAAAACTCATAATGGATCTATTGATGTTTTTGGTATAAGTGGTGCACTTTATTTTGTCACTTTTATAGATGATTTTTTCAGAAAAGTTTGGACCTATGCTTTGAAGACCAAAGATCAGGTTATTAATGTTTTCAAAGAGTTTCATACTAGGGTTCAAAAGAAGATAGAAAGGTAATTGAAATACATAAGATCAGATAATGATGGTGAGTATACAAGATTATTTAATGATTATTGTAGGTCACATTGGATCCAACATGAGATGACAATTCATGGTACACCTCAGTATAATGCAATTGTAGAGAGGATGAACCGCACCATCATGGAAAAGATCAGATGTATGTTTTCACAGGCCAAGCTACCCAAAAGGTTTTGAGATGAGACTTTGAGGACTGCAATTGATGTGATCAACTTGTCACCATGCACAGCCCTAGATAGTGATGTTGCAGAGCATGTATGGTCAGGGAAAGATGTTTCCTATAAGCAGTTGAGAGTGTTTGGTTGTCGTGCATTTACACATGTTCCAGATAATAAGAGGTCCAAGCTGGATGGTAAGACTAAAGAATGTATTTTTTTTGGTTACTCACATGATCATTTTGGTTACAGGCTTTGAGATCCAGAAAGACAGAAGGTGTTTAGGAGCAGATACGTGGTCTTCTTTGAGGATCAAACCTTTGAGAATTTGAAGAAAAAGGCACCAGCCAAGACTTCTATAGAAGGATTATCAGATTGTGACCCAGTTATTTCTCTAGTATATTAGGGTGATGGGGGAGATATACAGGAAGATGGTATAGAGCCTGATGTTGATCTACCTACAGGATATGTTGAGCAAGAAGAAGTTGAAGAGAAACTTCCCACAGAACCTTAATTGAGAAGATCTTCTAGACAACGTCAACCTTTCAAAAGATACTCTACAAATGAGTATGTGATGCTTACTGATGCAGGTGAACCAGAGAGTTACTATGAAGCAGTTGAAAGTGAGTAGAAAGATAAGTGGTTAGTTGCTATGCAGGAAGAGATTGATGCTCCTCAGAAGAACTACACTTATGATTTGGTACTACTACCAAATGGAATGAAGACCTTACCAAAAGAAAGACAGGAGATATACTGACAGTTGGTCGACATGACTTCACATTGAGGAGTCATGGGACAGCCTCCCTTATGGGATGAAGGGGGAGGTTGTTGGGCTGGTGGAAGCCCACAGATTCAGCCTATAATGAGATTTATCAACCCATAGCCCAACCCCACTTAACCTAACCCTAATTCTTATTAGAGGGTGTGGGTGGCTGCGTTTTAGAGGCAGAAAAAGGTTATAAAAGGGCAGCAACGAGGGTAGCAACAATTACATCTTGTAGCAGCAAAGAGAAGAAGAAAAAGATAGAAAAACAAGAGAAAGGAATGGAAGAAAACAAGGACAACGCAGAGAGACTGTTCTCAATCATCTAGCAGTGTTCTCATTTCAAGTTAGATCAAATCTATAGTAGACTCTTGCTGTGATTACTTGGGGAGGTTTTAGATATTATGGACAGTGACATTATCTTTGTATCCTAGTTATTCTCTTATGATTGTTGCTAGGGTTTAGAGTAAGAGATTGTGATTTGTATATTCATTATTCTCATAGTCGATTATCTCTAGTTTGCCTCATGATTTTTACCCTTCACATTAAAAGAATTTTCCACGTATATCTTGGTGTTCTATTTAATTGTGGTTCCATTTAATTTCGCTACATGTTATGGTCTACTAGTATTTGTTCATATACAAAAATTATTTCTCTTTATATCCCCGAGGAAGCAACGGTGCTGCGGGAAGGAGGAACGCTTTGGTGGCAGGGCAGTTGTTTGGGCCGGGCAACACGATATTTTATATCCATTGTGGTAGTCATTTATATCTATCGTTATATCCAAGTATGACAAATTTAACAACCGTTATTACATAAAATAATAAATTTTTTATGCAATCATATAGAAGAAAATTTTCCATAATAATAAAAATATTGTTCTTTTCAATTTCTTTTCCATAATATGTTGATCGTAGAAATCTAAAGGAGGGAAAATTTTTGTGCAAGAAATTTAGTTTAATTTTATTTAGATATGTATTTATTACATGGTAGGAACTAAAGAAACCAAATACATGTTGATCTTTGGCTGCTACAGAAACTTAAA